TTTGAGGACCTCTGATTTAGACCAACCCAAATCACAAGGTAAACCTACCGGTCTCCCTATGGAGTGTTTCAGAGGATAGATGGCAAAATGGATGTGAAGATAGAATTCCAACTTCTGGGCAAGGGCGTCACTATTTCGGATGGAACTGGGAATGTGTTCTTCCCATAAATTGAAGAACACCTTCTGGTCTCCATTGTCAAATGCAGTGACAAGATCCTTCTGTGAAGAAGACATTTAGAATAAACTCTTACTATAAGGGATGCTCATTCGTCCAAAACCCCAAATCTTTACAACCCACCCAACACCACAGATATACCATACTCTGCTTTTCAGAGGTAAGGAACAGAGAAATAGAGTTCCCAGAGGGCCTCAAGCTCCTTAGTTGGTATTTCTGCAGGCCAGCCCTAGTTTTCCATCTCTGTACCATCATATCTGAGCATTACAAAAATAGATAAAACATTTAAGATGGAAAGAACACTTGAAATGGAAAGAATCACACCTAGGGCAAAGACAGATTTGAAGCCAAACAACTCACAGACACCCACAGCAGGCAACTGATAAAAACAAGCCAGACCAAGAACCCATTGGAGGCCTCAGCAGAACCACCCTCACACATATGGAAGCTTGCTGACAACACCACTCCCACATCCGTGAGTGCCAGCAGCACATACACAAAGACCTGGGGCGGGAGGAAAGCACTGTGACTTTCCGAATGTTGTTAGAAACAAGTCTGAGATGGCACGGTGGGAATCACTACAGACTCTAGTGCAACATAAGGGGAACTTCTAAGCCCATCTATTACAGCAACAGAGAAGCACAGGCTCGGTGTCCCTCCTACCACAGAGCTGCGTGAGTCTATGTGGGATAGGGACAGTTTTGTGACTTACCATGCAGTAACTGAAACAGAATTTTGGAGAAAGGCAGATGGCAATTATCATGCCACTTGCTTCACAAGAAGAAAAATGATGGACCTGTCACACATACCAGCTGCGTAATTTTTGGACTTAAGTATGGGGCAGAAGTGAAAGAACATCCTAACAGTCCAAAACAACTCAACTCCTACTGTTCACCTTTCTGTATCGAATGCCAACGATGTTCAGACTTACATTTTGTTCTCATACGCAAAAGCTTTTCTAAGAC